TACATATTTATGACTTCATTTACTAATTAAAGACCATAGATATATGTATTTTCCGCCTTGTGGAGAATACTTATCTGCTCAGTAAGACTTACCGGCTTTCTTGTTGAGCTTATTTACTTTTTTTGTAACGTTGGGAAGGGCAGGGCAGGATTGTTATATGAAGAAGCCCCCTCATGGAAGTAGACCCGGGAAGGGGGCACGTTCTGGTGCTGGTTCCAGAGAGGGTCTACCTACAAAGACGCCTCCTCACTGTAAGCTGTAAAAAGAAGTCCCTATCTGGGGAAATGAGCATTGTCCCCTAAAAATAAAGTGTTATTTTCTAAAATAAAATCTTATTTTCTACAATGGTAGGAATATTAAGTCAAACATTTAAGAAACCTCCTGGGTACCCTCTGAAGTTGTATAAAAGTTGTCTTTCAAATCAATAGTCTCATGGATATAGCAACCAATAAGCCTGCACTTTTAATCTAAAATTAATTAAATAGTAACCTAGCAGTTCGAAAGCAAGAAATGGCAAGTAGATAAATAGGGACCACTTTGGTGGGAAGGGAACAGTGTTCCGTGCGCCTTGGTGTTTCGTCATGCCGGCCACATGACCACAGAAACGTCTTCGGACAGCGCTGGCTCTTTGGCTTTGAAACGGAGATGAGCACCGCAACCCTAGAGTCAGACTCGACTGGCTTTCCTGCAAGGGAAACCTTTACCTTTACTTTAAATGGAAAAATGATTTAAATTGGTGATTTAAAATGTTGTCTGTTCTTCGTGCCTTAAAACCATGAGTTAATTTTATTTGTTGTTGGAGGCTTTCACAGCCGGAGTTCATTCGCTGTAGATTTTCTGGGCTGTATGGCTGTGGTCCTACAGTGCCAAAACCACGGTCATACAGCCCGGGAAATCTACAACTACTAATTCATTTTATTTATTCATTTATTTCATTAGAGTTCTATTCCTCCCTCCCCACATTGTAGGCTCAGGATGTGTTCCAGACATATGCAGATTTACAATAAAAACTTATTTCAGAAACCCAGTAAAGTCAGTAAGATCACAGTACTCTAAAACAAGCAACGTGCCTCCATAGACATTAATTAATCCCAGTGATGCTGTGGTTCCAGTCAGCTTCTAGGATCTGTGGCCACTGGAGGTGGGCCAGAACAAACTGAATGCCCGCTGCCGCAACTAAAGGCCTGGCGGAAGAGCTCTGTCTTACGGGCCCTGCGGAACTGTAACAAATCCCGCAGGGCCCTGATCTCATAAGACGGCTCGTCCCACCAGACAGGCCCAAGAAGGCCCTGGCTCTAGTTGAGGCAAGCCGGGCGTCCCTGGGGCCAGGGTCTACCAGGAGATGCTGGTTTGTAGGACACAAAATCAGCCCATCCTGTCCTGTCCAGAAGAGGTGTCTGCTTTCAGTCACCTTAAAATTCCCATTTGCCATTTCGTACCTTTTTGTGTATGGCATAGGTGAGTCATTTGACAGATGCTTGGAACAAGTTGTGTGTTTTGTGTGTGTGTGCGGGGGGGGAGGCACAGTTGATCTTCCATGTTCTAGTTGTGCATTTCTTGGGGCACGGGGCTGGATCGTGTCAGAAACGAGATGCTGGGAGGGATGGATCCTTGGTCTGATCTGGCAAGAATGCTTTGGTGAGTGTGCATCCTAAACGGGACACGGAATTCTAGTTGCCCCGGATAATATGAACATGACAGTCGGCATGGACTGTGTTGCTGACCAAAATTTTTGAGCTAGGTTTATTGAAGGCAGTTGATTCTATCAAAGCCCCCAAATTTGCATCCATCATCCTTTTCTACTGTGTTTATCTTTGATTGCTGATTATGGCGCTCACATGCATTGCTGGATTATAATGCTACTGCTACTGCTGAAGCTGGCTATGTTTAGCAAGCACTGGCTTTAGAGTCTCCTTGTTCCACCAGTCCCCCCTCCCAGGCATTCTGCTGCCTGTAGCCCAGCCTGTCTTTAAATGATGGGCCCCTTTTTGCTTCAGTAACCTGCCTCCTCTGCACTTTTCCTCAAGCCTCCTTCTTGCAGGTTCTTCTTTCTCAGTCCAATTCACACACTGCACCATTTCTTTAGCATATGGAGAATCCTCCCGTCCTCAACCTACTCATATCCGAGACCTTTAGCCCCATTCAAACAGACAACTTTCCCGTCCCTCACAGAAACTGGGATGCAGACTGCATGTGGACGCTCTGTGCCGTCACAGTGGCTCAGCCAATGAATGTCAGCGCTTTTACCACCGGAACATGACCTAGAGTGTGATAATTGGCTTCTTGTTGTTTGCATTATAATGGTTGGGGAAAAAATAGTTCAGCACTTAACAGTGTTTTCTGTTATGAGCACTGAATGTTTCAGTCACTTTCTTTTCTTTTCTTTTGAGCTGTCGTTTCTCCCCAGGGTTTTCAGTAGATAAGTCTGTGTGCAAAACATGAAGCATGCATGTATCAGCTTGCTCAGTTTACCAATGGAAAAACCACAGCTTCTTTACGCAACCTTAAATCTGTCATCCTTCCTCTTTCCGCTAATGGCACAAATCTTCCAAGAGACAGAATACCGAGAGTTAGTGGGGGTGGGGGTGGGAGTGGGGGTGAGATGAGGGTGAGCCGCTGGAATCAGTGCGAGACACCAGATCACAGGTCACCTAGATCAGGCATGTCCAACTTCGAACAGGTAGTGATCTATTTTTTCCGGCCAAAAGTGCCGGTGATCTACCACCATGAAAATAAAGTTTCAAATTAGTTTCAAATTAGATTTTAACCCACTAAAGTTGGGTCCCCCCGCTCCCCATTTATAATGCACCTTCTGTCAGGAGACCAAGTGGGGCTGGTGATCTACCTCTGACCCCTCCGCAATCTACTGGTAGATCGCGACCTACCTGTTGGACATACCTGACCTAGATCATCCTTTCTCACAATGCAAGAACTCCTTTTGGGGCACTCCATGAAATTGCTGAGCAGTTGGTTTAGAACAGATAAAAGGAAGTACTTCTTCACTCAAAGAGTGATTCACTGCCCCAGAATGTGGCGGCGGCTACAAGCATAGACAGCTTCAAGAGGGAACTGGGTAAACATCTGGAGCAGAGGTCCATCGGTGGCTATTAGCCACAAGGTATAGATAGGATCTCTCAGTCTGGGGCAAGGGATGCACTGTATTCTTGGTGCTTGGGGGGGGGGCAAGAGTGGGAGGGCTTCTAGTGTCCTGGCCCCGCTGCTGGCCCTCCTGATGGCCCCTGGTCTTTTTGACCACTGTGTGACAGAGTGTTGGACTGGATGGGCCATTGGCCTGATCCAACATTGGCTTCTCTTATGTTCTTATGTTCTTATGTACATTGTATAGATTATCTGGACTGACAGTGCAAATTTTAAATGCATCTTCCTGTTGTTGCTGGAGATTTTGGAGAGCATGGGCAATAAGCTTTCAAGAGTCAAAGCTCTGTTCCTCGGTTAGGGAGTTTTGACTTTTGAAATCTGACGACCTGGAAAGGTTGTTGGTCTTTCAGGTGCTACGGAATTTGAACCCTGCTCTTCTGCTGCCGACCAGCACGGCCACGCTCCTCCGGAAACAGTCTTCATGGGCAATGAAGCTGATTTTTTGATAACTTTTCTTTGTTAAACAAAAAATAAGGCTCTGTAAGTTGGATATTTGTACACAGGTATAGTTGTCCTTCTCCCCACCCCACCCACCCCAGTCTGGCAAATTTAGTCGCAAATGTCTTCTAGTTTGCCTCCAGCAATGCAATGAAATATCAAGATGAAACAAAACTCACGAAGCACGAGGAAGCAGCAAATGGCTCCAGCCCGTGGGGGCATTTAGAAAATAGAAGTCGAAAGATTGTGGTGAAGAGGGTACAAGGAAAGAGGGACTGTTTTGACTTGAAATGGTTTATTGCGTTTGTATGTAAAAATAAAGCTTTAAAAACGTAAATGGGTAGCATCAGCTTGTATCAACTTCTATAGAAAATGAAAGCTTTCTTCAGATGGTGTTAAGGGAAATTGCTGGTACAGAAGAGTGCTTTATTTCCACTGAGCTTCTACTCATGATAGTTGATGTTTACTTTGTTTGGATCCTCTATAGCTTTGTTAGTAAGGTACCTGCATAGTATTTGCTAAACACCAGTCATTGGAAAAGCTATTTCAAAGAAAGAACAAAACAAAATTTGCAGACTGAGAAAAGTCACAGCCAGACTGTGAGAAGAAGGGCCCACAAAATAGCTTGCAGAATTGTCCATTCATGGACAGTTTCTCCAGTGTCTCAGGTGGAGGTCTGGTTACATCCACTGGTCCCCTTTTAGTGAAGGTGCTGGGGGTTGAACCTGTGTGCAAAGCAAATGTTCTACCACTGAGCCACATGGGCTCTTCCCGTGACTGTGCCTGTGAAGTGCTTCATGCCCAGCACCCCATGTACTGGCTTGGAGTCTTTCACTAATTTCCAAGTGGCTTTGTCAGCGTCAAACAAAGAGGGAGGGGCCGTGGCTCAGTGGCAGAGCATCTGCTTGGCATGCAGAAGGTCCCAGGTTCAATCCCCGGAACCTCCTGTTAAAAAGGACCAGGCAGGAGGTGATGGGAAAGACCTCAGCCTGAGACCCTTGAGAGCGGCTGCCAGTCTGGGTAGACAATACTGGTCCTGATGGACCAAGGGTCTGATTCAGTAGAAGGCAGCTTTCTGTGTTCATGTGTTGAAGTTATCAGACCAAGAGAAGTCTTGCCCTGTCAATGGTGCACAGGTTCCCCTCTGGGGGCACAAGCGGGGCACACTCAGTAGGCTCAAAGTCCCCCATTCTGCGAATCCCTGCTGTGTCCCTTTTCAGCGGAAGTCAGTCAAAGTATCCTGTGTCTCTGTGCCTGCAGTCTTCCTGCCGCCGCTGCCAGGCCCGTGTTGGAATCGGGTGCCCCAAAAGGAGAGGGGGGGGTTGGTTTCGATGCCTTATACCAGTGGTGGCGAACCTATGGCACGGGTGGCAGAGGCGGCACTCAGAGCCCTCTCTGTGGGCATGCATGCCATCGCCCCGGCCAGGCCCAGACCGTCATTAAAGTGTCGAATCCTCTGCCAAATAATGTTAAGTCAATGAAAGCCTTTGGGATTGCTTTCCTTACTTTGTTTGGATCATCTTAAGTCAATGTATGAGTTGTTTTTTCTAAAGTAAAACCTCAGTATTCAGGTTAAATGGCCCTGTGAGCACTTTGAGATCAATAAATGGGTTTTGGGTCGCAGTTTGGGCACTCGGTCTCTAAAAGGTTCGCCATCACTGCCTTATACATTCCTTCAAGCTCAAATATGAGAGAGACCGTTCATGATTAAGTGAAGGTCACGCATTCCACGGTAACTAAGGGGAAGGGCCCACGGAGGAGCGGGGGGGGGGAGGCCTCTCAGTCTGAGACAAGTATCCTCAAAGACGAGGCGCTCCACGGGGTCTTGAGCAGCAGGCACAAAGAAGTCCAAAGTCATCAGTAAAATCTTTTGTTGTCTTATTCTAGTATGTTACCTTCTGAGGCTCTGGGATTCCGTCCCAGCGGATTCGACGTGATTGCAAGAGGAAGTTTTAGAGACGATGTACCAGAATTTTGTTTTATTTGCCTACGTGGAACTAGTGGCAGTTTTTAGAGGGCAGGGTGAGATCAATATCAGGGGGGGCACATGGAGGGAAGAGGCTGGATCCCTCATTCCCAAATTCCCCTTGTCCAATCAAACCAGCACCCCACGTATGTGCTTTGAAGGGGGGGGGGACGCGTTCCATGAGATCTAGCAAAACTCAGCCTATTTAAAATACAGCTGGCTAATAGCGTAATATTTTCTCAAGGATCACTGGAAACTGCAGTTTTGTGAAGGGAGTCACCACCTTCCCCGGATTGCAGTTCCTTATTTGGTAGAACCATGATAGTTACTGCTGTAAAAACTGGTCCAAGTTGCTAGTTTAGTTTACCAAGATGACCGAAGGGTCCCACCATTCAGGTGATGGTGAACCTACTCTGGAGGGGCTAGAGGAAGAAGTGTGCTCCCTCCCTTGCTGTGCCGAGGGGCCCTTTCTGCAGAGTTCACATCACCTGTGTCCCTCCCCCCTCCGGGGAGAGAATGAGACCCCCCCTGTGTCCCCCCCCCCGCCCGTGTAGCTTTGGGTGTCCTGCCTGGGGTTGCTTTGGGAAGCTGTGATTGGCTGCAGATTTCATTGGTGTCCTAAGGAGCACCAGGGCTTGGGGCAAGATGGGAGGCTGGCCGGGGGTGGGGTGGGGATTTGTATTTCCACTCTCCGTGTGCCTGGCACTTGTAAAAGATACATCAGGGTTGCTGCTGATGTAACGTTGCACCGGGGGATGCGTAGGGTGCTGGCTCAGCCCCACTCCACCCTTTTCTGTGCTGCAGCTGGGGGTCACATCAGCATGGTGCTGGGGGGGGAGTTGCTGCCATGCCGCCGTATCTCCCACTTACCATCAGCGTGTCTCCTGCTTGTGCGGCCCCAGCCAATGTTCCCTCTAAGCTGTGGAGCCCTGTGAGCACAAATTCTCCTTTGTGAGCTCCTGGCAGTAACGTTGTGAGCAAGTAATTTGGCTGCTGCCTAAACCAGTTCGCTCTGGAGCCCTCCTTCCTGAGCTAAGATAAAAATGTGTGAGCTGGAGGCTAAAAAACAGTGAGCTAGCTCACACTAACTCAGCTTAGAGGGAAGACTGGCCCCAGCACCTGGTCCCCTCCCTAAGTCATTTAGAGGTGGGGCTCAGGATGAGGCTGTTCCTCAGTTATCCATCGTTGCTCTTTGGCAGACCAATTCCCACGCTAAACAGTTGGACGGCCTCCAAGGAAGGACGTTTCTTTTCTGTTTCCTCAGGATCTGAAGGATGAAAAGAAAAAGGCCAGAATGGCAGCGGCTCGCGCTGTCCTCGAGAAATGCACCATGATGCTTCTCACGGCTTCCAAGGTAACTCCTTTTGTCTCCTTCGAGCCCCGCCTGGAGAGCTGCGGTCAGAAGCCTCCTCAGACCCTGGAAAACGCAGGGAAGAAACTGACTGAAAGCACGTCAGTCAACACGCGGGGAGGCTGGAGGGCTGTCCAGGGGGTAGGCAGGCTGACCGACGTGGTGAAGGGCTAATTGAGGATGGGGCTGATCATCGGCCTCGCCTGGCTCACCTGAGACGGGGCAAGTCAGGTGGGCATGCATCTCGGCAGACTGCACAGAGGCCTCTGGATAACTTTTAAAACATTATCTCCAAGACCTGTCTCAGGCCCCCCGACTGTGAATCCGCCCGCCTGAACAAAGGAGCCGTCTTTCACAGAATGCGACTCGCCTTGGAGCAAGTCATAGAGATTGTAACAGACTCCCGCCCCAGTGGAGAGCACGAACCGGGGCCCGTGAGCATCTCTGCTGGCATCAGGGAGTTCAAGGTGAGGAGACTGAGTCATTATTTGTTGATTTGGAGAGTATAGCTTAAATCCTGAGAGGTATACGCAGGGGTGTCCAGTCAAAGCTTTGCTATCCGGCAGTCTTGGGAAATGGGGGGTTGCAGGTTAATCAGATGTGCTGAATAGTGCTGGACAGTCGAGCTTATTGCCGTGCCCCAGTTCCTACAGCCTGATAAAAAGTAGAGACATCTCCCTGCCAACAAAAGTCCACATGGTCAAAGCAATGGTATTCCCAGTAGTCATGTATGGCTGTGAGAGTTGGACTATAAGGAAGGCCGAGCGCCGAAGAATAGATTCTTTTGAACTATGGTGCTGGAGAAGGCTCTTGAGAGTCCCTTGGACTGCAAGGAGATCA